TATTTTTTGCTGGACCAAGGGATTTGCTTTGGCAGGGGAAGAGGTGGGTGAAAGAGAGAATAGTCCCACGCGCGGCGCGTCTGTTGCCTTTTTTGTGTTTTGCTCTTTCGGCAATGACACCGGTGTTTGTGCGTACCCGCTGGTGCGCGTTGTGCCATTTACGGCGCGCGCGTGTGTTGTGTTGCAGGAGTATGTTGGCGTCGGAGCTCCTGCGGAAGGCCGTGCGTCTCCTCAAGCAGAAGCTGCAACAACGCCCCAACACCCACCTCGGTAAGCTAACTTTTGCCTGTTCGGGAAAGTGCCCATTGGACAGTGCGGCTCTTTTTTTTTTTCAACCATGGCTCTCGCTGTCGTCGTGTTTTGGCGACTGCGTATGTGATATAAAGTTAGTGATGGTCGTGCAGCTGCCGAAACTCAGAGAACCAATCCAACACTCACGTCAACAGCAGCAGCCGTTGCGGTAGCTACAGCAGCAACAGCAGTGGCAAATCTCAACGCCGTCTGATGTAACCAACTGCTTGAAATTCCGCTTTGGGTGAAAATGGTGCACATCAACACACTCATTATTCCTTCTCTCATGCATGGTTCCGACGCGAGAGGCGTTCCACTCACTCGTCAGTCCAAGGTTTGACATGGGGACGTTGTTTCTTGTGCTTTTTGCATGGTGCGCTTCGACCGTAATGGGCGCCAAAAACAACACTTATTCGGCTTGATTGACACGATTGACATTGATGTTTCTGGACGGGGGTAGTAGACCTGTAGCGATCAGCTTTGTGCCTGGCGAGGAACGCTTGAGCACAACGAGGCCAGAAAAAATAGAGATGTTCTTGCTGGTGGGATGTATGCACGTGTTGACCACCGTCCAACTCACGTATGTCGTGTCTCTGGTGGAAGTCGGTCGTCGCAAAGACAACGAAGGACAACGCTCTTCGCGTTGAACCGTATCTGAAAATCCCTTGACCGTTGTCGCTACCACTGCTGCGGTTAAAGACGTTCCTGGTTTGTTTATGAAAAAAGTGGCCTTGAGCGGGGAAGTGCCCTTAAGGAGGTTGATACCCCTCCTTATGTTGTACATTGTGCGAGCCACAATGCCTGATAAAAGAAAAAAAAGTTGTCCTTTACCGAGGGAGTTTCCTTTTTATTTTGTTGTCCTTAATAAGCGAGGCACGCTTGTACATGCGTTTGTTGCCGTGTCATGGATATACTTCGGTTGCCTTCCTTCGATGTTTTTCTTCACACGTCTTTTTTTCTTGCATCATGGCTTGTACTGCTGTGTATTTGGTGTCTCCAGCATTCTGTTGCGTCGATCTCTCGAAAAAATCTTGGTTTTATTACACTCCCTTTGGGTGCCTTTTTCGTGCCTAGCGTGCCATCGACGAACTCCTCATCACTCTGTTGCGCCCATCTCTAGCACAAATCAAATCTTCGGTTTGTATTATACTTCAGGCGCATGTGTCGTGCAAGCTTTTGCATGTCGTCGGGACGCACCCCTCAATGCCGCGCGCTTAACCTCCCCACCAACGCTGATCGCTTGGCGCAGCCTTGCACCTGAAACGGCTGAAGCTGGAGCTGTGGCGCGACGAGAGTAACGCCCCGTTCCTCCGGGCGGAAGTGCGGCGGGTAACCGCCGACGTGATGGTGTACGACGATTCCTCGGGAAGCGTCGACCTGCAGGTATGTTTACGGATACCCGTAGGTGATGCAAGATGCCACCCCCCCCCTGGAATGATTTTCAAAGCTCCATTTCCCCATGACGGCAGAAAGAGGGTGGCGGTGGCGAAAATGGCGGAGTGGGAACCGTTAGCTTTCCGGTGTTAACGCATCGTTTGACTTGCACTCGTCGTGTAGCAACGGACCTTTGGTCCACGGGGTGCGGTATCTTGTGTCACCTACTGTACACATCGTGGACTGCATACGTTTGATACCACCCCCCCGTTTGATACCACACCCCTTCGACCGACTGTCGATGCTCCAATTACTCTGCAGCAAGAACAGTGAGAACAGTGCCTGTGCCGAAAGTGTCGGGGTTGGAACCGTATCGCTCTACATTATGTAGAGCTTATCGCTTGAGTTTGGTATCGTCCTGGTCCTCGAGGAACCGAGCTTTACGAATCAGTCCAGGGGGTGCGGTGTCTCGTATGCAACCGAAGATATGCTGGGTCGGTCGCCGGGCCACGTGAACCCCCCATGTTTTTTCCTTCCTTGCGTTGCTGGCTTTGCGGTGTGCCCTCAGTGGCTCGTATCCAGCAGCAAACGTAGCCGTTCGTGTTGTGACAATTGGTTTGCGCGTCTGCTCTTTTTATGTCGTTTTACACAAGTTGGTTTTCTCTTTGGTTCGCCTGCTTATTTCGTTTATCCGTTCTTCGTACCCCGTACCTAGATGTTCAAGATCTTTGCCGCATGGTATGACGCATGGCGTGAACTTGAGCTCTCGTTCTCGGCCCGCTGGAGCGCCGCCTCAGCCGTATAGCGCAGCGAAGGCTGTGTGTTGAAGGCGATGCCTGCTTTCACCACCACGATATATGCGTGCCTTCCCTATCATCAACAAAACAACAATTGAGCCAAACAATAAACGCACATCTTCGGTTCTCCCCCAAATCGACCACAAAACAGGGGGACAGGAAGGGTACTGCACGACGGGGGTTACCAATCTCTGGGGCTTCTTGGCGATGTGACTTGTCGGTTCGGTCCCTCCCATGTTTTTCATGTTTCGCCAGAATTGGCCGTACCCAAACAACCCTAACCCGGGCCTGCCACCACCTGTCTCCACGGTGAACCAGCAACAAGCATCAGTAACGAAACCCTACTGCGGCCTCATCCCCTCCCTTTTCGTTTCCTGCGAAGGTGGGGTCTTTGTGGGCGAGCCAGGTTAGAGGCTGCGGCTACAACCCGGCAGAAGCGGCTGCTGCTACAACGGAGCAACCACCGCCACCGGGACCACCCTCGACGCCCCCGTCGCCGACACAAGCCGGTAGCCAAGGCAAGAAGACACCAGGCCTCGCAGCGGCAGCGGCGCAAGAAGAAGGAGAAGAACGCGGCGCATCCGACTGGTGGCGCGCCGGGGAAGGGGGCCCCGCGGATGCGGCAAGAGCGGGCCAGCAGACCCTCATGGCCCTTGAGGTCGTGAAGCCGCTCATGCGCCAGGACTTGGAGCGACTGTCGGACCAGGCGAGTCGCGCGCGGGCGAGAAGTGTTTCGTCCGTGTTTCGTGCGTCTAGATCTTCGTGAATGGGTTCCCCTGATGTTGCATCTGAGTGAAACGCCGTCGCGGAGATATTATCAAGAGTGAAGCCTGGGACTCTGCGCTGGTTTCGTTGGCGTCCGTCTGCTGTCTGGTTGTGGACGGAAATAATGGCAGCCAGGAACGACCGAAGCGCACCAGGACTTGTTGGAGGAGACGACCGACTAATATCACGTTCAATAGTTCCGGCAGAACTATCCCCCCTACCCTGCGGAAAGTGATATCGATAGGACATACAGGACGGGGAAAACATTTTTGAGCCTCCTTTGGCAAAGTAGGAAGGAACCATTGGTCGGCGGTGATTGTTCCTGTTGGATCAAACCTCCGTCCTCTCGAGGAAGCGTGGCCAATGTTGTAACTACTATAACATGCCCCCAAACCATTTTCTAACTCCGCATGTGGTTGACGGTGTGATTTCATGTGTGCGTGCATCGCCTGGTCCGATACAGGGGAATCTGCGAGGCTGGTCTCCGCGAGAAATTACTGTGCACGTGCAAATACAACTGGGGTCTCCCATCGGGTAAGAGGACGAGAAATAAACAGATAGAGAGAGACAGACAGGCAGGTAAACTTCAAGAAAACAGGTAGATAGACAGATAGACAATCCTGTAGGACGATTGGAGGGCGGGAGGGAGGTAGAATATTTGACAAAGGTTGGGGGCGAGACGGAGTCAGAAATGTGCGAAGAGAGACGGGCAAAATGACACATAAAAAAGTCAAAAATGAAGAAGAGGGCGACTGCAAAGCCACTAGCAAGCGATATGGCTGCAGTGATGTTTCCGCCCGAGGATTTATGCCGCTCTTGAGCCTCGCATTCACCACTCTCACCAGGAATCTGCACCAGAAAAGACATCGAAAGGTGGTCAGCGTGGTCACACACGTGTGGGAGCCGATGACACAAGGGCTGCACCATTGGAGGTCGAATTCCCTGCCGTGGGTCCGGTGGTGCCTTGAGGAACTCCTTCTTGCGTTGAAACGGAAAACGTTGTTTGCAATCGCTGGATGGCGAAGACAAGCAACCATCGCGCCCACGCGCCTCGTCGCCGGCCCCCACCATTTCGAAAAAAATCGAAAAAATGACGCTAGCTTTGCCTCCTTCGGTTCAAGGCTGCCGTTCACAGCCCTCCTCCTCCCTTGCCACTGTAAATGACGCCCTTTGACCCACGTCGAATGGAACCATGTTGGGAGACTTGTAGTATTGTGTAATGTGTGTGGTTCAGTGAAACGAAGAAGGCCGGAAAGGTTAAATGATTTGTGAATGAGCGCACGGAAGACTTGGTTCCGACTCCGTTGTGGAGTGAATGTCAGACGACAGATCACGCGAGGTTGCTCATCACTCCGAGGTGTGCTGCCGCTCAACCCCCGCCCCCTCATCCTGCCTTTATTTGGAACTCTCTCAGAGAAGTGACCCTGGTTCGTCACTTCGAGGCGGCCGTTTTCCCGCTGGTGCTTCACCTTCGGCGGTCCCTGTTCACCGATCTATCCGCCTTTTCTTCGGAGGCCGTGGCGGCTCTCTCGTCTGCCGGGGCCGTAGATTCGGGGGCGACGCAGCGTGAAGAGCAGGTGGGTTGCCGAGTCTTGGCGGGCGCTTATTTTAGCCGTTTATACAAATAGTAGTAGCAGTTGTTGTTATGGTTGTCACGCGTTGGAAATTTTCCCCCCCCCCCCCCCCTTCTCCGGTGTTTGCCATCGGGGTTTGGGTTTTCGTCGCTTGGCAACGACGTTGTAAAACAAGCCCCCCACTCGGTGTTTGCCATCGAGATTGGGTTTTCGTCGCTTGGCAACGACGTTGTAAAACAAGCCAATTCACTTCGTGAACTCGGCAACCAGGTTACCGTTTTTTTTTTTTTTCACCTCGTTTTTTTTTTTTTGCGGTAACCATAATGGTGGTCGAGTAGATCATGTTGTGCGGGGTCGAGAAACCTCACTCCGCGCAACGGGGGATGATCGCACCACGTTGTGTTAAAATGGTCAAGCTTCCTCGAGGCAGTTACACAGTGCTTACAACTGTCTCTGGAAGTGAAAGCACCAGAAAATAAATTAAGTCATACGTAGCTGTCACCCGTACGCAAGGAAGTAAGCACAAGATGCCGAACACCCTTAGCAGGATGCAGCTCACCCTTCATGCGACTCGCCAAATACCTCATGGCGCTTCGCGCTTGGTGATGTGAGAGCCTGGTCCGGTGAGAACCCGGCGTGCTCCGTCCAGGCTTTGTAGGGATGCGAGGTCAATGGTCAAACGACTACGGCATGCACGACTATGAGTACACCCCCCCCC